TGTTGTTCCTTTATATGTGTAGAGCCTCTTTCAGGAGCTGTTGTAGAGCTGGCCTGGTAGTGATGAAATCTCTGAGTACTTGCATATTCTCAAAGGATTTTGTTTTTCCTTCACTTACGAAGCTTAGTTTGGCTGGATAGGAGATTCTGGGTTGAAAGTTCTTTTCATTAAGGATGTTGAATATTGCTCCCCACTCTCTTCTTCCTTGTAGGGTTTCTGCTGAGAGATCTGCTGTGAGTCTGATGGGCTTCCCTTTATGGGTAACCCGAGCTTTCTCTCTGGCTGCCCTTAGTATTTTCTCCTTCATTTCAACCCTGGTGAATCTGACGATTATGTGCCTTGGGGTTGCTCTTCTTGACGAATATCTTTGTGGTGTTCTCTGTATTTCCTTGTCTTGAATGTTTGCCTGCCTTGCTAGGTTGGGGAAGCTTTCCTGGATTATATCCTGAAGAGTATTTTCCAGCTTGGATTCATTCTCTTTCTCACATTCAGGTACGCCTATCAAACGTAGATTAGGTCTTTTCACATAGTCCCACATTTCTTGGAGACTTTGTTCATTCCTTTTTACCCTTTTTTCTCCATTCTTGCCTTCCCGTTTTCTTTCACTGAGTTGATCTTCGACCTCTGATATCCTTTCTTCTGCTTGGTCAATTCGGCTGTTGATACTTGTGCATGCTTCACGAAGTTCTCGTGTTGCCTTTTTCAGCTCCATCAATTCACTTATATTCCTTTCTATTTTGTCCATTCTCGTTAGCATTTCGTGAAATCTTTTTTCAAGGTTCTTAGTTTCTTTGCATTTGGTTAGAACATGTTCTTTAAGTTCACAGAAGTTTCTTACTACCCACATTCTGAAGTCTGATTCTGTCATTTCATCACACTCGTTCTCCCTCCAACCTTGTTCCCTTGCTGGTGTGGAGTCGTGATCCCTTGTAGGAGGAGAGGTGTTCTGGTTTCGGGTGTTTTCATCCTTTTTGTGCTGGTTTCTTCCCATCTTTAAGGATTTATCCACCTGTCGACTTTGTAGTTGCTGGCTTTCAGATTGGGTCTCAAATCTTTCAGATTGACGTTCTGTTTGTTGATGATGAGGTTATTTCTGTTTCTTGGTTTTCCTTCTGACAGTCTGACCCCTCTGCTGTAGGCCTGCTGAGGTTCACTCCAGGCCCTGCCTGCCTGGGGTTCACCTGCAGCAGCTGCTGAACAGTAAGGGTTGTTACCAGTTTTCTTCTTCTGCTATCTTTGTCCCAGAAGGATACCCGCCTAGTGTCAATCTGATCTGTCTTTTATGAGGTGTCTCTTTGGATATATAGGGGTCAGGGAGCTGCTTGAGGAGATGGTCTCTTCTTTATAGGATCTCAAATGGTGAGCTGTGAGCTCTGTTGTTCATTCAGAGCTTCTGGGCAGGTACATTTAGGTCTGCTGCAGCAGAACTCATAAACTGCTTTTTGTTCCCAGGTGCTCTGTCCCAGGGATTTAGGGCTTTATTTATGAGTTTCCCTTATGCTGCCGCCTTCTTTTTTTTTTTTCCTTCAGATCTGCCCAGCCCAGCAAGGAGGCAGCCTAGTCACTGTCGGCCTATAGAGGCGTTGCTGAGCTGCTGTGGGCTCCACAGTCCTGTTTATATGGGTGTAGTTAGAACTGCTTTGGCGATGGTGGTCCGCCTCTGTTGAGGTGGAGTCTCTCTGCTGTGGCGGGTTGCCTTGGCAACGGCGGGCTGCCTCAGCAATGGCATGTTGTCTTGGCAATGGCGGGCTGCCTCAGCAATGGCGGGTTGCCTTGGCAACGGCAGGCTGCCTGGGTAATGGCGGGTTGCCTTGGCAACGGCGGGCTGCCTGGGTAATGGCGGGTTGCCTTGGCAACGGCGGGCTGCCTCGATAATGGCGGACGCCCCTCCCCCACAGAGCTGGACCGTCCCGAGTTCAGCTTCACTTGCTGTGAAAGCCTCAATCCAGAGTTTCCGATTGTTGTTCTTTTGTTGGGGTGGTACCAGCCGAGCCTGATCGCCTGGCTCCCTGCCTCAGAGCCTTTTTTAAGTTGGTGTTCCAGCCGCCTGTTGAAGAGGTGCCGGGGTCTGTTTGTTTTCCCCTGTGGCCACTCACTGGGCTGGCTTAAACACCACCCCGAGTGTGGGTGGTGCTTTTTTTTTTGTTTTTTTTGCCCTGGAATCTACTCTCCTGGTTCTCTGCTCAGTCCCCTTTTTGAACTGGCGAATGGGCGACTTCCCGTGGCTCCAATCACCAGCCAAAAGGGCACCCGGACCGGTGTATTTTGTATGGAGAACCGCTGCTCCGGGGCGCCGCGTGGGGCAAAGCAGCAGCGCCAGCCAGCACAGCCGTGCTGACCGAAACAGCCATGCTGGCGACCTTGGAGCTCCTCTGCCTGGGAATTTCCTAGTCTGTGGGCAATAAAAACATGGCATCCACTCACCCTCTGTGCTTTCACTGGGAGCTGCAATCCTGAGCTGTTCCTAAATGGCCGTCTTCTCTCCTCTCATCCCGAAATTATATTCTATTTAATTACTTTCAATGATTCTTTGTATTTTTAGTATACAGGCCTTTATACTTGATTTTTAAAAAGTCATTCTTTAACTGTTTTATTTTGATACTATTTCCTTAATTTTGAAACTGTTCATTGCTAGTATATGCACATACAATTGAATTTTGTGTATTGATCTTATAATTTGAAACCTTTGTTAAATTTATTTCTTCTAATAGGTTTATTAATTCCTCTTTGGGATGGGTTTGTGCGTGTAGGTGTTTCTTAAATTTCTTTATAAAACATCTGTAAATTGAGAGTTTTACTTCTTTTCTTACTTTTCCATCCAGATACATTTTATTTCTTTTCCTTTTTCTGTGGGAGTGGGGGGCTAGTTTCTCTGGCTAGAAACTCCGTTAGAATGTTATACAGAAGTGATAAGACATGCTTGTCTTGTTTTTTACTTTAGTGGAAAGCATTCACCATTAAGTATGATGCTAGCTATGAAATTCCCTTTCATTTTCAGTTTGTTGAGTATTTTTCTTAAGAAAGGATTTGAAGTTTACTTTTTTTCCAACTGTTGAGATGATTATAAAGGAAATCATTTATTAGTATCACTTAATAAATCAATTGATTGATTTTTGGTTTTTAAACCAACCCAGCATGGGGTTTTTAATTTTCACTTTCGTTTTCTTAGTCTTTCTTTTATTTATTTATAAATAAATAAACAAATGTTCTTTCTGCTTACCTTAGATTTATTGTGCTCTTCTTTTGCTAGCTTATAAGATGAAAGTTTTGTTGATTGTGGTCTCTTTTCTCTTTCAGTGTGAGTTTGCAGCTGTAAATTTCCTCTAAGCATCACTTTAGGTGTATCCCATAAGTTTTCGTGTGGTGTGTTTTTGTTTTTTCTTCATCTTGACCTATTTTTTCTTTGACCCATTGGTCATTTAGGATAGTGTTGTTTAAATTTCACTTATTTATGAATTCCCCAAATCTCCTCCTGTTATTGATTTCTAATGTCATTTCATATAAATTGAAGAATATCTTTTGTATGAGTTTAATACTATTAAATTTATCAAGGATTCATTTATGGCTTAACATATTACATATCTTAGAGATTTCCAAGTATACTACAGAGCAACATGTATTTGTCTTTTGTAGGATAGAGTCTTCTATGGGTATCCATAGACTTCCAAAGAGCTCTACTTACTTTATCATAGTCTTCAATTCTATTTTCTTCTTGATCTAATGCTTAGTTGTTCAGTCTATTATTTAAAGTGGGATATTGAAGCCTGCACCTATGATTGTTGTAGTGCCTATCTGTAATTGCTAACAATTGGGCATGAAAAATCACACACAGGATTTTAATCTGGAGTAGGACCCCTCAATTTTCACACACACACATATTCATACACACGTTCTTATGTACACATACATACATATACATACAAATAAGCATATTTAGAAATCATGAGTTCTCATGGACATCTTCAATTCCAGTTTATCCTCTCAGGTCTTGTTTTTGCCTTCCTTCATTTTGTGCATATTTATTTTCTTTTCCGCAGTGTAAATCTGACTGAACATTAATAACACATGTACTCATTTGCTTTATTCTCTAATGCTTCTCAATTTGTTCTAGAATTGCTTTGCTCATAGCACTAGAAAAGTAAATTTACTAAAATTATTTTGTGATTTTATTTGCACCCTACTCTCTTGACCAAGACTGAGGATATTTGTCAAGTTTGTATTCACCCGTTACTTGAATTAATGATTTGTTATTTCCCTCAGCAGGTTCACTTATTTCTTTGAGTTATAGTTTCCCCAATTCTATTGATTTTGCTTTATGCATGTATATGTATACATACACATAATATACACATGTGCATATACATATGCATATATATGTATATGTGTGTGTATGTGTGTGTGTATATATATATATGTATATGTGTGTGTGTGTATGTGTGTGTGTATATATATATATGTATGTGTGTGTGTGTATGTGTGTGTGTATATATATATATGTATATGTGTGTGTGTGTGTGTGTGTGTGTGTGTGTGTGTGTGTGTTTTGGAATTGTGCATTAAACTTACTTCCCAAAGTGAAAAATATGCAAAAGGTATACTTAGGGCAGTTTCATTCCTCCTTTATCTCTTCTTTTTGTATTTCTCCGTTAAAGGTAACTGTGTATATTTTCTGGTTAATTTTTCTTACATTACAATTCGTGAAGGTAATTTTCTATTTCAGTATTTTTCTTCATCTCCCCTTTATTCTTATCTAAAAAGTAGCATTCTAGATATGTATTTTTTGTTTTCATTTGTTTATTTGCTTTCTTCCTACTTAACATTATGCCTGGAAATAATAAAACAGCAACATACACCTATTAAAACTTCTCACAATTTTCATGTGAGATCTAGCTTTATGGTAATTTACTCATGACTTTATGAGAATGAGCAAAAATGCTACTGTGCACTTGTTTAAAATGTGAGATATGGAGACTTCACAATAGATCTTTCTTTTTATGTAGCTGACAGTGAAGTTCCAGATGAAAATCTTATGGCTGTAAATAAAGATTCAGTAACAAAAGTCCAAATAGAACAAAGAACTTATAGTATGGAAAGACAAAATGGTAAGTATAATAATTATAGATAGCTTTACGCTATTTTAAGTTAACTCATCAGAAGGTCTTTTTTTCTTTGAG